TTGAAAGTATGATTCAGTGTATATCAGTACACTTTATGCAAATTTATTTGGTTGTGGCAAAATCAGACATCTGCCCAGTTTTACAGAACACATTTTAAAAGTCTGTTAAGAACCAGCTCAATCTTTCCTCCATCCTCTCTTTCTGCCATTTGTTATTAAGAACGGCAGATTAAGCATTGTGGAAGTAATGCAAGCAGAACACTAACTGGGAGAAGTTAAGTTAAAGTCTCCTTCAAGTTTGGTTTGACCAAATTTGATGATTTCAGGGACTCATCTATGCAACTTTCTTGATAAAAGTACAGAAGTGGTTTGCCACTGCATTCTTTTGGGCCTTTTCTTTCAACTTCTCAGTGAAACATATAGCCTTTATATTTCTTAGTAATTTCCCATCCAAGTTCTAACCAGATTCAACCCTGCTTAGCTTCCAAGCCCAGACACGGTCAGCCAGAAGCTACTACTTGCTGAAGCTTACCTGGAAAAAAGCACACTACTTAGATCTAATGCTCTATCTGTTTTACTTACTGCACTTCCCACTTACCTATTGCACCTGCTCACACTGCTTTACCTACTGCATTTCCAATACATAGTTTAATTTGGACTAGTGACCTCACCTGAAGCCAGGAATCACCAATGTCAAAATCATGAAATCATTGTCAGAAGCTCCTGCTGCTGTGTATATGTAGTCACCAGCCACTTCCCACCCTGAAAATAAAAACCAAGAGTTAATGATATACATTCAAAGAAAGGTTATTGTTTCCATTACATAATATCATATGTAATGTGAAATTCTGTGCATTCTCTTCACAGAAACACAGGGAATCTATTGCTTTGACATTTTCAAACTAGTTTCTCTAGAAGCATTTGGATCACTACTTGAGGAGTTCCCCAGGGATCAGGGCTCTTACTGATTAGGGAATTCTGGTGGTTGGAGTCTCAACAGATCTGGAAGGAAGGGCTCAGATCATAGAAAGCTATGATAACATATAGAAATATGGTAGATTCAGTTGAGGACTGCATATTAAAGGGGCTTCCGGGGAGGAATGGTGAGCCGAAGACGTCTCCATGAAAGAAGAGCTGACGACCGCAGCGAAGAACAAAGAGCTGTTGAGTAGATTGGCTCTTTGGAGCCTCTCTGGACAAGGAGAGGATGGGAGATTGCCCACATGTGTTCCAGATGGCTGCTCCAGATGGATGGAGGAGACTGCAGGACAGTGGTCTCCAGTGGGTTTGAGTGTTGGGAGAGGATGGGAATAGCCATCTTGCTTGCAACTGCGGTCAGCACCTTTTAAAGGACACTAAGTTTGCAAATCTCACTTTCTAATCACTTTTGGAAATTCCTCATTAACTACTTTTAAGCTATTAAGGACCTTCAGAATGACAAGTTTGAAAATTCTGGGTGAGTCTGCCTTCAATCCTGAATGAAATAAAATTTTAATCATACACTTAAGAATGTAAAGAATCTGAATTAAACAGCAAAAAGCTAAATAAGATTTTGATCTTAGAAAGTTATAAATGGACTAAAGGTCCAGATCAGATTGGAATATTGTAACTTTTACAATAAGATTTTGGAACTAATTATAAAGAACAAACAGCTTCCTGCAGGAAATAGATTCTATTTTGATGAAATAAAATTTTAATCATACACTTAAGAATGTAAAGAATCTGAATTAAACAGCAAAAAGCGGCTACTGCTCACTGCTGTACCAAGTTATAAATGGACTAAAGGTCCAGATCAGATTGGAATATTGCAACTTTTACAATAAGATTTTGGAACTAATTATAAAGAACAAACAGCTTCCTGCAGGAAATAGATTCTATTTTGGTTTTCACAAGACGTAACAAAGATTATATACATATAAAAGGACTGCATATTAAAAAGTAAATGGGGTTAAGAAAAAAACCTACAGGGGTGTTTCGGTGCGCCATGGCTATGGGGCTGCTTTCTGCTTTTTTTTTTCCTGCAGTACAAAGCCCAGCCCCAGCCTGGTCCAGCAGCCAGGCTGGGCACGTCTCATCAGCAGATGAGCAAGAAAATGACAAAGCAAGAGCATGAGCAAGAAAATGACAAAGGTCAGCTGGGGTGGTGGAGTGCCAGGCAGCGAGGCCCAAAAGGGTGTAGATGTGGGAGAGATAGGCAGGTTGGGGGAGCTGAAGCACCCCTGCAGTTAAGTGTGGACGGGCTGCCAAGCACCCGAATTTTGATCACGTGACCGCGGGGGCACTACAATGGCCATAACTTTGGGTATGGATCATAAGTACCTTTGTTCAGCACTGCCATAACTTTGAACAGTCACTGAACAAATGGTCGTAAGTCAAGGACTACCTGTACATAAGCTGTCTGGTTGTGCAGCCTAATAAAGACATGCAGCACAACTAGGGCCCTTCACATTATCCAAGCACATTAGGTAAAAATACACACTGGCAGGATACCTGCCATTCCCTTATATTCAAAACTGATTCCACTGAGGACTGTAGTCTCCATGTTAGCTGGCAGGGTGTTCCACCATTTGTATTCAAAGCCTAGAGTGGGCTCGGTCCCAACTGGGCAGTTGGTACAACCTGAGAACCAAATGAAAAAAAAAACACAGTCAGGAAGAGTCACTAAACAGCTACAGATAGTTTTCAGTTGTTGCTGTGGTTAATGGCATTTTCTGAAACAGTGGTGAATACTCTATAGTACAGCTACAATAACAGCAGCCTTTAAAGAAGTGCTTTTAAGAACATCCACTAAGCCAGTATTTCTCAAACTTGGCAACTTTAAGACATGTGGACTTCAACTCCCAGAATTCCCCAGCCAGCATTAAATTCTGGGAGTTGAAGTCCACATGTCCTAAAGTTGCCAAGTTTGAGAAACACTGCACTAAGCCCTTTACATCAGGCTTCGTTTTCCTTTCGTAATGTCTTAAAATGTTTTGTGAAAGCAGCAATTTTTCAGACATATAACTTGTAGAGCAGTCCCAATGACCTTTTAGTGGTTTGCCTTTTTGTTTTAATGGAGCAAATTGTTGTACTGGGAGTAACTCTTCATGTTCCAAATTAGTCAGGTCAAGAATAAATCAGTAACACCTTCTGTAAATCATCACTGAAATTCTTGACAGAAAGACAGCTTTGTTCATCTGGCTCTTTCTTCTTTTCCTGCTTTGTGGTTCATCAGGGGAAAAAACTGTACTACACTGGAAGGCACACAGCTAGAGCACCAGTCTGGAGAAAGCTAAGTAAACCAATGAGTCACCTCTCCACCATTATTATTTACAGCCCCATAGCCCTGTTGCCTTTAGAAAGAGCAGTGAATAAGAAAAAGAAAAGCAGAGCTCCCACAACAAAAGATTGGATTTTCTTTTATGTCACTACTGAATCCAGAGAGCACCCAGTTCATGGCTTCTTAGAGGCAGCTCCTAGTGATCAGAGCACAGGGCCAGTTTAGACCTCTTTGACAACCTCATTTATGTGAGTTTTACCTAACTCAGAAGGAAAAAACAGAATAGCATTACCAGACCCATTTGAATATGTTCCATATGGGCAGGGTTCACAGGAACTGGCATTTGTCTTGAAAAAACCAGGGTTGCAAGGGGGGCACATCATCTTTATACCCGATGGAGGTAATTTCACTGCATTGGGGAGGTCCTCATTGCAGATCTTTGGCTCAGCCCATTTATACATTAGCTGAGTCTGTGAAGATAAAGGTATTAATCAATTAATTAATTCATAAAACATTTTACAGCATCTTTATATGCAAAAGGATTTATAACTGTTACATCTGATAGAGTAGTATAAACAACTTCATGCTATCCAGATATTTTGGTCCACAATTCCAGGACTCCCTTGTTACTGGACATATTAACTGTGGCTAGTGGGAGTTGAACTCAAAAAATATCTGAAAGGCAAAGGGTTGCCTACTGTATCATATTTCTACGCTAGATGTATACAACCTATGGTACTCTGTAAGTTGCTGAACTATAACTTCCAGCATTGCTAAGAAGCATGGTCAATGAGAACAGGTTCCACAGGTATTTTATGGTATACCTTATCTACACAAACATACAAAAGAAACCAAATTCATATTATTTGCACTAAGAAGAGAGGGCCACAACTTTTTTTCAGGCTGAACTTAGCTTTAAATGGGACCTGCTCCCCAAAACACAGGAGCAAAGCCAAAAAAAGGGGTAGAGCCATTATAAAATGGCATTTGGTTTCATTTGATTTAATAAATTAAATTGAAAAATTATATTTAATTATCATGATTACTTTTCACACATGTAATAATCCTTTCTTCCTGCCACGTATATTTAATAATTTCCCTCTTCTTTCAGATGACAGAATTCAACTGAGCTACAAAGAGAGGAGGGAGTTCGTGGGCTACATCCAAGAATTTTGGGTGGCCCATGCAGCCCTTTGAGGTCCCAGATGCAATACTCCTGGGACAGATAATTCTGACAAGGTGAACAAATATTCTGACTCTCCTTAAATAAACAATGGCTATGTGGGATGTGTGAACCAACCCTTATCTAGTTTAGGTCTAGATAATCATTCTGATTATTAAGTATCCACAAGGAGGTTCTTTCTATTCCCCACAGTTGTTTATATGCATATGATGTTTTGCAGCAGAAACATTTTGAAAAATGCTAACCATCAAGGCTGTGCTTCAAAAGCCCCCAAAAGAGCATTCTGCTGTTGACATTCCCACTAATGTATGGAATTCTAGAGGTTGCATACCTCCCCATTTGTATCACAGGCAGTGTGGGTATAAAAATAATCCTTATCTGTACAGGCTGGCCGAGACTTGCAGAAGGAAGAACCTGGTTCTTTATTGCAAAAAGAAACAGCAGTTAAATCTACACAGATATGAGAGAACCTTTTAGGAAGATCTTCAGCAGTAAACTATAAAAGTATATTATCCCTCATTAACATTTTACCTCTGAGCATCGTATCTTAATCACATCTACCAATACCAAATTATTTAGTATATTTGATTGGATGGAGTGAAAACCTACATGGACATGCATGACATGAAAAAGTGCTCTGGGGGCTCTAGTTCCAACATCTGCTCTCCTAAGAACTATGGGAAGGAGTCTTTTTCACACAATCTAC